TCCATAATCCCACACCTGCTTTGACCGTTGCATGTGTAGAACCAGATTTTCTGGCACTCTCTCGAAAAATTTGGGTTTCAATTCAAAACATGACAAGGAAAAAAACGTGTTCTGCATTCTCTTTCGCACTGCCAGAATATGAGCACATTTCTGCCTCGTCGTGACCATATTTATAAAGGTATTCCTAAAACAACCATGCCCACTTAGGAGCTGCGTCAAATAAAGTCAATATTGCCATGTTTCTTAACGTCTTTGATCAACAAGTGCGTCCATCGTCCCACCGTGCTTGCCATTCATTTACACTCTGCTGTCTTTCTTCTTCGCGCTCTTTAGCTGTTTAGAGGCCTGCCTAGATTTTACTTTTATCGTAAACTCTCTTATACTCCAGAGCCATTATGTCCGGTGGCATTATACCAGATATCACTCCAGCGGCTCGTGCGACACTGTGCGGAAAGCGCTGGCAACTCTAAGTGTTAACCTGAGTCTTAACCTGAACAAGGATCTAACTGGTTCGGGTATGATTTTTGCTTTAGAGCGTTGGCCCACACAGGCGCTGCATACATTACTATTGATTGGGTTACTTTTGTCAATAGTAGCCTTCTGTTCTGACAAGGTCCGCCTAGGTTAGCCATTATTCGACTTAAGGTCGTGTTTACACGCGCAACTTTTCGCAAGCTTTCTCTTCATTTGTTTTATAGTTTATTTCGCGTCAACTATTCGCCTTAATATTTGAAAATGGCTGTGACGTGATGCTATGCCGTCAATATATTATATAGAAGATGGCTTCCATTTTCTTCCTGCTTGAAATTAATAAGGCTTTTGTTATTTGCCCTGCAGTTGCATATGCGCTCAATTTGGTGCAGTTCTTTGCCACGATTTTCACCGCAATATCGTCAGCATACCCAATTATTTTCACTTCTTTCGTCTTAGAAGGCGAAAGGATTCCGTCATATAATATCTCTAAAGCTTAGAGTTGTGTGGGCCCAACAGCAAATTGAACGCATTTTAACATCAAGGTAATGACTGCACAGTATTCCTTGGACCATACAACCACCTAAGTGCCCTCAACGCTTTGTGCCTGCTATTTCGGTCAGTTTTTATGCGCGTCAATTGTCGAGCGTCTTTTGCGAAAACGTATTGATAGTCAGATAGGCCCTTACTTCTTTAAGGTGTTTTCTATCAGATCACATATGATCCGTTCGAGACTTACCACTGAATCGATCATACAAGTGGCCTGTACGAACTTTGGTTTCCTGGTGGCTGTTAGGTTTTAATAGCAGAACAAATGTTGTCGTTTCAATATATTCGGAAAACTCCATCCGCAGAAACTTATTGAAAAGTTCTGTGAAGTATTTAGTTTTGACCTTAATAGCAGTTTTAATGCTCCGTTGGAATGCCATCCAATCCAGGCGCTTTTGCATTACCGAAACGTTCCGATGCTTGCACTACCTCATTATCATCGACTGTTAGAAAAACGGCGGGTTCTTGGTTGTCAGAGGGTTGTTCTCCTTTGCTTGCGTTTGTTGTGCTAGAAACAGGTTTATACTACAGCCTTTAGTAATACAGCAGTAAATGGGAATGGAAAATTAGCTTTTAAATCCCTAAGACGTTGTAGCCAATAGGCTTAGCTGCCCCTGTGATGTAATACTTAACGGTAGTTCCTCAGGGGAATCATAAAAAAAAAAACATATGAGATATGTTCTTGAGATGTTTTTATTTTTTTAGTGGTTTAAAGTCTCACACTACTGTTGTAAGGGCAACAGTGTCTTTCGATAATTTTTTCACATCTCGCCAAAAAAAAAAAAAAAATACTCACATATGTACATATAGAGCCGAGAAGTGATAATATGGTGATTTGAATGAGTGACAGCGTTTACACGTTTTAAATGATGAAAGATATTATTAATATAAATTACTAGTGCAATATATTTACTTTTTTAGTATATTATGATAGAATATTATGTATATAGTATACACATAGCCTGTATATATTATATTATCAAACATAAGAAATATTTATTTAAAAAATATGTCTTATTTTCACATTCACTACATATATTCCTTTGAAATATTCAGTATAATTTAATTAAAATGTAATCAATTATATCAACATGCTTTCATAGCTATTCACATAAGGAATTTTATATCAATGCATGTGATTGCATATAAACGTATAAAAATATAAGCAAAAGGTCTAACATACGTCTGTGATAGCAATATATATTTTTGAGCATAATTTTTACTCAATACTTAGCTCTGTTTACGCGCCACTAATCAAATTTCTCTTTCCGAGCAAGCTGATGTGATTGTACTAAATTTGAAAAATATATGTATGTATAGCAATTGGAAAATAAAAATGTTATGCGCTTTTTATGTTTGTCTAGGGTTGCTAGCTCTGGCCTAAGCTGTAAAATTAATGATTTTTTATTGTAATAACATTTAAACGAAAGATAGAATTTTCTTATTTTAAAAGTAATATAAATATATTAAAAAATATAATAACCTCAGAACAATAATCTAAGATTTTAAATGAGAAAAAAAAAACATTTAATTGAAAGCCTGTGAGGGGTAAAGTACTGACTATTTGACCATAGAGACCATTAAAAAACCATACAAATAGCTGGTACATTGAACATCAGCATAGTGTGGATATTCGATTTCGTCACTTTCTGCATTAATTTCTGATTCGGCGACTTGGTTGGATTGCAAATAAAAATGATCTGAATCTAAATCACTCATATTAGAATCAATTTCTCAACTATTTCTTCAAAATTACTCCGGCGGTTTATTTATATAAAAGACAGAACAATTATATAAATAAACTTACTATACAGTTGTTTGAATTCCCGAAATAATAAAATAGTTACGCAAACACAGAGCTCCGGTATTTTTACCTGTAAAAATATTTGACAAGCTATAAATATGTTCAAATTTACAAACCACAGTGCATACTTCGGCTTACAAAGTTATACCAGAGAATATAAATTAACGAGGAGGATAAATTGAATTTTGTATGATGTTCCATTGGACGGCTAACAGAGCTGAAAAATTCCGAGCAGGCAACTCACCATTTTCTGTGGTATTCGCCGCTATTTAGCAGAGATGAGAATGCTCTCTGGCAGAAATATGTACAAAGCGACTATTAACTTGCAGAGAATCTGTCTGCATGCATAAAAAGAAACATAAAAGTCTTTGAACGGAAAATAAAAATGCCACTTCACATGTGTGTAATTATGAAATATTTTTTGTGTTGAAAAATTTGTAAAATCAGATCGCCAGAGAGTCCCTTGTTCAATCCCAATCACACAAACATAAATATGTATATATACAAACAAACATACAATCATACGATTATGTCTCTACAAAACAATCAAAAACATGAATGAATCAAAAACAGCAAAAACATGCCTTTCAACTCTGCTTCCCGCACAAGCGTCGCTGCCTACAAACTATTTTTCGCGACGATGGCAAAAATTTATAATGGTATTTTTCTGAATTTAATAAGAAATGACGCAACAGTGTCGGCAGCTGAACAAAAATTGCAAAACTATTAAATATTCTAATTATACAATTTATTCTATTTGAAAAATAAAAATCAAGAAATGGAAAATAAATTCCGCTGCGATTCGAATCTGGGCACTCATCGATGACTCTTTAAGCGTTTACAAATCAGACCACGGTTGGTGATGAATTGTGTTGTCTTAATTATGGTTTGATTATTCATTTAAGAAATATATGATGTTCAAAAAATTTTTTAAGACCGCAGAAATATGCTTTTGAAGAACATTTGCTTTCAGAAATAAACAGACAAATGTGCAAACGTCATAATATATTGTACAATGTATGTATGTCCATTTGCATATCTGTTTCTACGATAGTCAAATTTCTCTAGGAAAATTAACTGAAATTAATATTGAAATAAAATAGACTTTTGAGCAACAAATATTTTATTAAAAATTCAAATACATGTTTGTATACACATTAATTAAATTAATTTAAATTTTTAAAATATTTGTAAAATAAAACTATTATCAAAAGATCTAAAAATTGTAAAATGGGCCGAAACGAAACAAAGAAGTACATATTTACATACATAATTACTTTTGCATATAGAATTCCCTAGTTGAAAAAAAAATTGAAGCAGGAATGTGAAATGCCGACGGCTAAACGCAATTCTTTCAATTTTTTACAGCAATTCCTTGGTTGAGAAAAGTAACAAGTAGCATGAATGTGAAATGCCGACGGCAAAATACAATTATGTACTTTTTTGTATTTGGAGGACTATGACCTTTTTTGTGCTGCAATTTGCAAGGGATTTTGTTTTGAATTCTTGATTTTCTATTGCAGCACCACCTTAAGAGCCAATTTTTCTTCTACTTTGGAATGGTTTGTAAAATATACTTGTGCTCAACACTGGCGAGCGTTCTTTATTAGTGCACTTCAAGTATAAAAATGGACGTATAGCAAAACTACATTATTTCTGCGCGTTGATTGCGACAAGATGTAGCTTGTATATGTATAGATTTATGTGGTACACATGGCTTGTTGCTAGGTACATTTGAAGTATTTGAACACGAGCACATCTCTATTGCTATTGTGTCTAAGCTAGCACAAATAGTTTTCACATAGACATAGAGTCTTCGGTAGACTTCAATGATATTAAACACATCTCATATACAATTTAAAATATCACGTCCACCGTTGAATTACCGTTAAAAAAATCCATAAATGAAATTGTCAGATTCAATGCATTAACTGCTAAGAGTATGGGCACACCAAATCGCATTGCTCTCTTGGTAGTGTTTGTGTATTTAGTATGTGGTAATCTACACCCAAATGTACTCTTAACAAAAAGAATTTTTCCAAAAAATTTTGAAATTGTGGTCGAACCATAGGGAAAGGTGAGTAAGTTTGGTGGGGCATGTAAAAATGGGGTTAGTATTATATGCTTTTTACAGAGGGTATGTTTAGTATGGTGGGGCATGTAAAAAGGGGGTTAGTATTATGCTTTTTACAGAGCATATGTTTAGTATGTCATGATCATTTCTGGATAGGTAGAAGTTTAATCTACTACAATAACCAGAACGAAGGAGCGCAAGTTTGATTTCACGAAGAAACTTGAGCACAAGATCTACCGTAGGTTGTTTTTCGACTTCTAGGACGCCATTCTGTGGAAAAGACGCAATATAGATGTTGATAGCTCCCCTGCAAATGGCATTCAGTATTTATCTGAAGTTTGTCGTGTCCGAAAATTCTCTTGATATTATCTGTGAGGGCATCCCAGAAGAACTGCTTGAAGATAAGTGCATTGTGTTCCTTAACCTGGAACATACTGTGCAGATGTTCAATAGGAGACATAAAGAGACATCCAGTTTGTCCAGAGTGCAATGAAGTGAATGCTGAGAAGCTTGCATGTTCTTTAACTGCGTCTGTTGCACACAGTCGACCATTGCTGCGTAGTTTATGACCAGTCAGCCGATTGCCTTGTAAGTGGCCAGCAAAGTGTATTTGTTCTTGCCAAGGCACGGTTACAAAAATGGTTGCTGAAGATACGTTTTAGGTTTCATATAGGAGATAGTTAGGATTTTGGGCTCCTTGCAGGGAAGAAGCGAGAATGATCGTATTAGTGCCTATAATAATAAGGTGTTACGTGGCCTCTTCACAGGTAACATCTATTGTCAACCTTTTGTTACATTTGTTTTCATTGCCGTTGGTAATAGTATCCTATGGTCATTTGTTGTGGTTATAAAATGTTTTACAAAAATTAGAAAGCTTTAAATAACTAGCTAAGATAAAATTCGCCGGCTAGAACGCACGCAGCCACCATTAGCCATCATTCTCGAAAGAGCATTATGGAATATGTTAACTTTATCGGAAGTATGCGCCAGGTGTTCTTTAAATTTTAGTTTGGAGTCCAATATTACTCCCAAATACTTCATGCTGTCATCCGCATATGCGATCGTTTACATGTTTCGTGGTTGCTGTTTTCTTAGCACCCGTCGTAAATCAGGTTCCATAGTAGAGAGTCCAAGACCGAGCCTTGCGATACTCCACTCGAGATAAAGAAGCTCTGAGTGCACTCGTCTGTGTCGAAAAACATTTCGAAATAGCTCTTTATAATATCTGCAAGATATTGCAGAGCGCGTATTTCGTATATAGCTTTCATTATACATATTGGCCTATTTGACGGAGTTGAACGCATTCTTCACATATAGGGTGATAAGCGCGCAATACTTTTTTTTGTGCTTTTCGCTTTGCATCAGACCTGTGTTTTGAAAGAAAAGTACGTTGTAAGCTTTCGTATAAGTTCGTTCAATTCAAAAAATAACGCGGCTCTCATCTTTTTAAGCTTTGCCACGCAACAGTCGCCATTTTTATATGATGGAAATACCTAAAGAAAAGCGATCTTTCTGCCCTTTCCTTTTTCACTTCGTTGTTAATGTATTAATTGTCAAGTAAAGCGAGGAAGGTTCCATGTGAATCAGCCCTTAACCGCTAGATGGGTTGTAGGGTCAAAGGTAAAGTCCTAGAAGCAGAGTTTACTGCCAGCAACGGTTATCAGGATATTTATTCGGGGAACTATTCTATATGATAAAAATAGCCATACACGACACACTAGTGTTTTCGATCGGTAGTAAATCTTTTCACCATAAACGACATACAGATCCTTCTTGCGTTCGTCCTAGAGATGGAAAAGTTTTACAAAGAATCGATTCAAAATTGTGGCGAACACGAATACCAGAACAAATCAGAATCGACGATAAACTGCCAGAAGCAACTAGACAGCGAGTTCGTAGTTGCCAGAATGTTCTATTAGCGAACTTTTGTTAAAAATTTACTATATGAGCAGAGAACGTAAAATATAGAGAAGGTCCAACTACGGACCAGCGTCTGAATTGTCAAAACCTAACAAAATGCGATGAGCGTGTTTCACCACAGTCGGCTCGGAAGGAGAAATTTTAACAGTGACGAGTGAACAGAGCTGAGCATTGAATAAAAATTATGCTCAGAGACTTGCGTTGATTTAACAGCCGCATGTTACTCTTTTGGCTTATATTTTTATACGCGTATATGCAATCATATTTATTGATATGAATATTATCCAACATTCTAATAAAATTATGTAATTTTAAAAATATTATATATAGTCAATTTGGGAATTTAATGATTTTATTTAGATTTTACATAATATACTTTCCCAATAGAGATTAAATTTATTACAATATAAAATATGTATATGTACATATGTACATCTTTTATCATATTAATCTTATATATAATCATATGTACATATAAGTATCTGCACAAGCACATTTGAATGTGCGGATTCAGAAATTCAAATCATAATTTTATCATATTATATATCAACACAATATATGTGCGCGCATTGATTTATATGTACACACATATACATATGTATGTATAAATGACATTGCCGAACAAATAATGTATACACAAACCAACCTACATATGTATGTCTATGCGTACATATGTATATATGTCACCCGCAAAAACTACAAACATTGTTCTAAAAAAACAATAATCATGACAAGTCAATATGTCAGCCAAATAGCCGAATCCCAAATTTATACTAAAATATACAACAACAACATTTTCATTCATGAACGCAGGCGTACTTTTGACAAGCAACCTCGCTTCATTCATAAAAACAGATACCCGCGCATCCCCTAAAGCATACTCTTGCCTACAAGCGTCTTTTCACGACGATGGCAAAAGCTAAAAATCATAAATTGAACAAATTTCTGATATTCCCTCTAGAAGGGAAAAGTGACAACTCCGCAAATTAGAGTATTAAAATATTTTAGAATAAAAGTGACAAATATTTCTTAAAGAAAGTATTCAATATTCCTTTGATGTATGTATACTGTAATCCCGGGTTAAGTATCACTCCTCCAATCCCTCTTATCTGCCTGTGTCTTGCTGCATCTCACGTTTTTTTTTTTAATTTTTTAAGGAAAACGGTAATTTTTTTTTAAATACATAGAAATTATTTTTTTTGGTACCACTCGCTTAAGTACCACAATCGCTTATGTACTACAAAGCATAAAAAATCTGCAAATTGGTTTTGGCACTTAACCGGGATTGACTGTATTTGTGAAAGAATGTAAATATTCGAATTTTTTGCACTTGCCCATATGCGATATATGTTTGTAAAAGTGTGTATGGTTTCCCATGAAACAAAGTCCTTCGACACAGTGACTCTTTGACAAGAAAACAAAAAACATGAGCTTCGGCCATTGGTTGTCTGTGGCAACGGAGATTTCCCATGAAACAATGAGTGTACATATTTACAAACAAATGTTGCATGTAGACAAATAAATAATTATAATGGGTATTTTCATATTTGTTTACATGCACATAATTATACATATATTATGTATAAGAATATTTGCGACCGCTTGGTCTTTTCAAGAGGTGTACAAAATCAAACCCAGAAATCTGACTGAACTGAAGCAGTCCATTAAATAGATAATTGAGGCAATCCCGAATTAGGTGTCGCATATGCGTGGTTGAGTATGGAAGAATAATTAATTGTTTAAATAAAATAAAATTTTCTATACAATAAAAAAACTATATGTAATGCATTGACTAAAAAGAAATTTATTGCGGTTTAATTTTGTAGCACGATTCGTTAGCCACCCTGTATAGGCAGAATATCTTCAAATTATATGCAAAGTCGTTTGCGCATTGTAAATATACGAATCTGTAAGCGTAAATTTCTTAACATTGAAATTAGCATTATTTTTCTCAATTAACATTGAAATAGCTCAATTCTGCTATTTTTCAGTCCCCTGATGTTCGGTGGTGTAACACGCTCATCGTTTTCAGTACCCCTTCCAAATGTGGTGAAACACGCTCATCTCTTTCAGTCCCCCTACGAAGCATGAACTATTTTGCTAATGGCCGCATTGTGAACCTTCTCTATGATATACGTTCTCTGATATAAGGCTGCGAACTGTGCAGCAGACTTAGTTCTAATTAGAGTGTCGCCATGTAAAAAAACAATTAAGCTATAAGCAATAAGTTGTAATTTCGATTATCGAGCAATAAGTGTTAAGTTGTTGGAATAAAGATAAGTGTATAGCCATTATGTAGGGACTTTAATTTAACAATCTAGTGATCGAACTCAAGAGTGAGTTACAGGTAGACGATTTTTCGAGAAATCCGTTACAATTGGTGTCAGAAGTGGGATTGTCAAATAAATTCCCAAGGAGATAATTATTTGAAAATGGCCAAGTTTAACGATCTGAAGATTCTACAACTGAAAAAGGAGCTGGAGCAACGTCGTTTGGCGACAAATGGATAAAAAACAGAATTACAATCACGGTTGAGAGAGGCCATGAGGCGAAAAACATTAATGTTGAGGAATATGTCTTTCACATGGAATTAAAGGAAGAGACAACAAAGATAGGAAGAGGCTCAATGCTCGTCAAAGACTGTGGACATAAACATGATTTTTGCTGCAATATCGCAGATGGGAAAGACATAAAAGAGAGAGATTCGGAAAGAGTTGGACATATATTTACCTTTTGTTTAAATGAGCAAAGCCTCGCTACACATACACACCACTCTACTTGGAAAAACTGCCGCACCTTAATACTGCCTACCACATAATCCCAATACACCACAAATTGGAAAACACCATAGTCGATGACACCACACGCACACAACACACTACACCGCACCTGTACACTACCCTACTCAACAAAAGGACGGAGAACAGGTCAGCCTGTACATTCGCATGCCAGCATTCTTTTCGCAATTCGGTCACCAAACTTACTTCAGACATCGCGAATCGTCTTCAAAATATTATTGACGTTTTCTTGAATGTAGTGTGTCAATTAACAATGAAATACCTAAACTAAAATAGTTGTTCCCTAAAATACGCGGGCATTTTTATTAACGATCGGACAAGTAGTGATAAGGTTATGGATTTAATAACTAAATCAAATAAAGTGGTGTGCTCCCAATAAATGGTTCCTAAATTTATCATGGTCCTTCGGGCCGGATCAAATGAGTTAGCGCGTGTCGCATCAACGTGAATAATTGAATGTCGAGTTGCGCGCAGGATCGCTATTTTGTCGACTGAGGTGTATCTGCGGAGACCATCCTTTTGTTTGCTGAGGTGGCGTATAGGCGCGATGCTGTGGTGTGTTGTATTGTCCGTGTGGTGATGTATGAGTGTGGTGTATTGTAGTGGTTATACTAGGGTGTGTCATTATTTTCAGGGTGAAGGCGTGTACTTTGCGGGAGGAGTTTATACTCATTTAAACATACTGGGCCTTAGGCGAATATTTTGCCTAGTATTGAACGTATATGCTGTCATGTATTTCGGCGCACAGCGATGGAGCAGCCGAGGGTGCGGCATACATGCTGTAAGTGAAGAAACTTTTTGTTGTAAAGGATGTTATGTAAATAATTTGATATGTTGGTGAGTAGCTTGTTTATTTGATTTTTCTGTATTAGCGGTACTTTTTTGCAATTTCTTTATTTCGGCTTATAGGATAGCGACTCCACGCCTGGCTCAGATATGGCCAGAATGGGTGCTCTTTGAAATCATTGAAAAGGGATCGTGCGAGAGTACAGTGATTGGCCGAGAATTGAGAACAGCTTTTCTAGAGGTAGTAAAGTGGTAACTGCGATATATTTATATTTTTAGTATCGATCTACTTTCTGAAGAAGGATTTGAAGCCTATTTTGCTGATTCCCATAAACCACCCATATTAGAGCGCTTAGATAGATGCGATAAGTGCCACATGGCCCTTCGGACCTAAAAGAAGGCACTGTGAAAATATAAAATCCAAAATTGTTAAAACACAGAAAATAGATAACATGCACAAACAAATACTATACAGTCAAAGACAAAAGTTTAAATACAA